TTGCAGAATGCATTTTGGCAGAAATTTATGACTAAATTTGATTTTTAAATGTTTTATAGCAAAAAGTGTTTTTTTTTTTTCCTCAAAATTGTCAGCCTTTTTTTTTTTATAGCGCAAAAAATAAAAACCGCGCAGGCGATCAAATACCACCAAAAGAAAGCTCAATTTGTGGGAAAAAAATGGATGTAAATTTCATTTATGTACCATATTGCATGACCACGCAATTGTCCGTTAAACTAGCGTAGCACTGTATAGCAAAAAAAAAAAATGGCGTAAATTGCAGTATCTATACCATAGTTTGTAGACGCTATAACTTTCACACCAAGCAATCAATATACACTTATTGGGATTTTTTTTTTACCAAAAACATGTAGCAGAATACATTTTGGCCTAAATTTATAACCAACTTTGAGTTTTCTATATATTTTTTATAGCTGAAAGTAAAAAAATATTGTTTTTCTTCAAAATTTTTGGCCTTTTTTTGTTATAGCGTGAAAAATAAAAAGCGCACAGGTGATCAAATACCACCAAAAGAAAGCTCTAAAGTGTGAAAAAAAAAGATGTAAATTTTGTTTGGGTGCAGCATTGCATGACCGCACAATTATCAGTTGAATTAGTGCAGCGCCGAGTAGCAAAAAGAGGCCTGGTCATTAAGGGGGGTAAATCCTCTGGAGGTCATGTGGTTAAGTACCTCTGCTGGAGGTTGTTTGCAGTGGTGTCCACTAACTAGCTGCCCGCTGGTCTGTCAGTACTGATGGCAGGACCTCCATTGGAGATGCAGCAGGACCTAGGCAGCAGCAAGATGGCACCTGAAGTAGAAGTGCGATCACACTGGCAGGGCTGGGCTGAAGAAGCGTAGTCAAGATAGAAGCTGAGGGTATACATAGACAGGCAAGTCAGAGAGAGGGCTGGAGCACGGTCAGGAACAGTAGCCAAAGTCATACACAGGAGTCAGATTGAGCAGCTGGAAGAGTAGTCAGATAACACGCTAGAGTCGTGTATTGTTAGGCAGAAGAGGCATAGTCCTTTAGAGCAAGCCGGGGTCAAAAAAGTCAGGCAGCAGGAAGGTCCAGAGACAAGCCATGTCGGTAACAAGAGGTCCAAGTAATACAAGATACACAGTAGCTACAGTACTGGTAGCTGAAGATCATCCAGCAAACTCCAAGTGCAGCCTCTGTCCTTATATAGGGTGTTTGGCGCCAGTTCCAGCAGCAGGTGTGTGTGAACATGCAACAGTACACGTCCCCCGCACATGTTCATATTGTTTGTATATTTTTGTGCAATCAAGCATGAGCATGTATACTATTGGCAACTAGGTCTTTTCTTCAGCACATGCACATTTTTGTTCTGGTGTCTTCTTCTCAGCACATGCTCACGTTTGTTCTGAATAGCTCCCTGACAACCATGTTCAATGGAAGCAAAGCTTACAATGACCTAAAACAAAACTTATGTAGGGAACATTACATTTTTTTACAGAATAAGTGGTAATAATCATTGCAACTCATGTTATAATTTATACAGTAGTAAATCATTAACTTAAGTAACTGTGCACACTTCTAAAAAAAATAACATTCAATCACAGGAAAGAAAGGTGGATTTTTGAGCTGCCGCTTTACTGTTAATATGATTGTTATAGGAACATTTTCCGGTCCATTGCATTAATGCGCAAAGACAGGATTTTGGCTGTGACACAATGGTCCCTGTGTTGGGAAAACGTACCGCAGAGTATTTGACTATTTGACTTCCACCTGGTCAAGATGGAAATACGCACATGCTAGTTTGATGTTCTACAACATTGACTCCAGAACGTTCAACTTTGCGCTGTCATCTTTGAGCAGGCCTGCTGAAAGATGGAGCATTTCCAGGTTCCCCAGCTGAGTCTGAACCTGTTACTGTTGTCCAGAGAGCCAAACTCCTATGCCTGGAGCCAGTACAAACAGAGAGAATGAAAAATATGTTATAATGAGAAAAACAAGGACATTAAGGCAAAAAATGAGACCATTTTAAATGCACAAAGGTACATTCATTTTTTCCAGCTGAAAAAAGGCAAAAGTCAATGTGTGTAAAACAGTGGAATAATTGTAACATTTCCAGTTAAGATTCTCAATAGCCAATATAAAATGCAATATATATCTATAATATATATATATATATATATATATACTACTACATACATATGCAATATAAGTTATCATGCTTCTTTTTATGATGATGAAATTACAACTCTTACTGTATGTTACAACTATTGCTACTTGTATAGTATGGCCTTGTCTTGTAAGATGCAGTACAGAAAGCATTAATACACATTTCCAAGTTATTTTTATCATACCATTATATAAAATGAGTTAAACTATTTTTGATTTGAGTTTTAGCGTATGTTGTGTAATAATTTGACAAGCAGTTGTGAATTTTAGAAAAAGTTGAAAAAAATCAGAAAAATTATAATGTCCAAACATTAAGCCTGTGAAGTTTCCCTTACAACTATCCTGTATTAAGTTTTATATATATATATATATATATATATATATATATATATTCATATATATATTCATATATATATACAGTATACACTTTATTAGGTACACCTGTTCAATTGCTGGGTAACACAAATCAGCTAACCAGCCAATCACATGGCAGCAACTCAATACATTTAGGCATGTAGATGTGTGAAGACAACTTGCTGAAGTTCAAACGAGCATCAGAATGAGGGAGAAAGGGGATTTAAGTGACTTTCAATGTGGCATGGTTGTTGGCGTCAGATGGGCTGGTCTGAATATTTCAAAAACTGCTGATCTACTGGGATTTTCATGCATCTCCACATCTCTAGGGTTTACAGAGATTGGTCCAGAAAAAGAGAAAATATCCAGCGAGCAGCAGTTGTGTGGATGAAAATACCTTGTTGATGTCAGAGGTCAGAGGAGAATGGGAAGACTGGTTGCTTTAACATTCAGATGGTAGGGTCAGTATTTGGCTTCAGCAACTTGCAAGCATGGATCCATCCTGTCTTGTATCAGCGGTTCAGGCTGGTGGTGAAGGTGTAATGGTGTGGGGGATATTTTCTTGGCACTAGCAAAGTGTACTTAATAAATTGGATGGTGTGTGTGTAAATATACAGTGAAGGAAATATGTACAGTATTTGATCCCCTGCTGATTTTGAATGTTTGCCCACTCACAAAGAAATGATCAGTCTAAAAATCGAATGGTAGGTGTATTGTAACACTGAGAGACAGAATAGCAACAAAAAATTCACAAAAAATTATGCACTAATTTGCATGTTCATTAGGGAAATAAGTAATTGATCGCCTTCACAAAACATGACTTAGTACTTTGTGGCAAATCCCTTGTTGGCAATCACAGAGGTCAGACGTTTCCTGTAGTTGGCCACCAGGTTTGCACACATCTCAGGAGGGATTTTGGCCCACTCCTCTTGGCAGATCCTCTCCAAGTCATTTAGGTTTGTTGGCTGACGTTTGGCTACTCGAACTTTCAGCTCCCTCCACAGATTTTCAATTGGATTAAGGTCTGGAGACTAGCTAGGCCACTCCAGGACCTTAATGTGCTTCTTCTTGAGCCACTCCTTTGTTGCCTTGGCTGTGTGTTTTGGGTCATTGTCATGCTGGAACACCCATCCATGACCCATTTTCAACTCCCTGGCTGAGGGAAGAAAGTTCTCACCCAAGATTTGACGGTACATTGCCCCGTCCATAATCCCTTTGATGCGGTGCAGTTATCCTGTCCCCTTAGCAGAAAAACAACCCCAGAGCAAAATGTTTCCACCACCATGTTTGACAGTTGGGATGGTGTTCTTGGGGTCATAGGCAGCATTCCTCCTCCTCCAAACACGGCGAGTTGAGTTGATGCCAAAGAGCTTGATTTTGGTTTCATCTGATCACAACACTTTCAACCAGTCCTCCTCTGCATCATTCAGATGTTCAGTGGAAAACTTCAGACGGGCCTGGACATGTGCTTTCTTGAGCAGAGGGACCTTGCGGGCATTGCAGGATTTCAATCCTTGTCTGTGTAGTGTGTTAGCAATTGTTTTCTTGGTGACTGTGGTCCCAGCTGCCTGCAGATCATTGACAAGATCCTCACGTGTAGTTCTGGGATGATTCCTCACTGTTCTCATGATCATTGATACCCCACGAGGTGAGATCTTGCATGGTGCACCAGATCTAGGGAGACTAACAGTTGTTTTGTGTTTCTTCCATTTGTGAATGATTGCACCAACTGTAGGTCTACAATCTTGTCCCTGACATCCTTGGACAGCTCTTTGGTCACCTGGTAGCCAGAAATCCTGATGAATGATATAGGATCAAATACTTATTTCCCTCATGAACATGCAAATCAGTGCATAATTTGTTAGACATGCATTGCTTTTGAATTTTTTGTTGCTATTCTGTCTCTCAGTGTTACAATACATCTATCATTAGATTTTTAGAATGATCATTTCTTTGTGAGTGGGCAAACATTCAAAATCAGCAGGGGATCAAATACTTATTTCCTTCACCATAGCTCTTTACAACATGAGGGCAGACAGTACCGTCCCAATACAATTCAATACAGTAGGACCCTTCTCATTAGCGCTTACAATTTAGGAGGGAGGGATATATTTACCGTATTTTTCGCTCCATAAGACGCACTTTTTTTCCCCCCAAAAAAGGGGGGAAAATGTCAGTGTGTCTTATGGAGCGAATATAATGCGGCCGGGCCCAGTATTTCTGCCGCCCATGTCAGAATACCGGGCCGGCCGCTCAGCTGTTCTCTGCGGCAGGAACTCACCTGTTCCTCGGTCCAGCGCTGTAGTCTTCCCTCGCCGGCTTCTTCCCGCCCTGGCATCTGTGACAGACGGGTGCCCACTGCGCATGCGCGAGAAGCGCTGCACTTTGTGAATGGTCCGGTGTCTTCTGGGACACATGACAGGTCCCAAAAGACGCCGGGCCATTCACAAAGCACAGTGCTTCTCGCGCATGCGTAGTGGGCACCCGGCTGTCAAAGTCGGGTGCCCACAGTATAGGAAGGAGAAATCTGCGGAAGTGGGAGCGGGTACCTGACAAATTCAGTTACCCGCTCCCCCTCCCTCCCTAAAGGTCCGCAGTGTCTGGTCATGTCCTGTACTGTCTGCAGTCTCTGGTCATCTGTACTGTCCACAGTCTCTGGTCATCTCCCATACTGTCCGCAGTCTCTGTTCTTCTCCTGTACTGTCTAAAGTCTCTGTTCATCCCCGATACTGTCCGCAGTCTCTCGTCATCCCCTATACTGTCCGCAGTCTCTGGTCATCCCCTATACTGTCCGCAGTCTCTGGTCATCTCCTGTACTGTGTCCACAGTCTCTGGTCCATCTCCTGTACTATGTCCGCAGTCTCTGGTCATCTCCTGTACTACGTCCGCAGTCTCTGGTACATCTCCTGTACTGTGTCCGCAGTCTCTGGTCATCTCCTGTACTGTGTCAGCAGTCTCTGGTCATCTCCTGTACTGTGTCCGCAGTCTCTGGTCATCTCCTGTACTGTGTCCGCAGTCTCTGGTCATCTCCTGTACTGTGTCCGCAGTCTCTGGTCATCTCCTGTACTGTGTCCGCAGTCTCTGGTCATCTCCTGTACTATGTCCGCAGTCTCTGGTCATCTCCTGTACTGTGTCCGCAGCAGGGGTGGACTGAACGTTTGGAAACTTGGGCACTGCCCGAGGGCCCGGGGTCAGTAGGGGGCCCCATGAGATGCCCCTGGTACCTTTTTCATAGGCTTTTTTTTGAGTTTGGGCAAGGACACAGGGGCCCTATGATCTCCTATTGCCCGGGGGCCCCATGAGTCCGCCCCTGGTCCGCAGTCTCTGGTCATCTCCTGTACTGTGTCCGCAGTCTCTGGTCATCTCCTGTACTGTGTCCGCAGTCTTTGGTCATCTCTTGTACTGTCTGCAGTCTCTGGTCATCTCCTGTACTGTGTCCACAGTGTCTGGTCACTTCCTGTACTATGTCTGCAGTCCATTGGTTCAGAATATTTTTTTTCTTGTTTTTCTCCTCTAACACCTAGGCGCGTCTTATGGTCAGGTGCGTGTTATGGAGCGAAAAATACGGTATATGTTTTTTTTTTTCCTTTTTCAACAGGGTGTTTGAATTCCATTTGCTCTGATAACTTCATAAGAGCATGAAATTCTTGAATGACAGTTCTTGATGGAAATGCAAAAATGTATTGATTTTATGTGCTAAGTATGCTTTCATATTCCAGATATTTCAGGCAGCTTAAACCCTATGGATTTGATTAATAAAATGATGTTACACAAATGATCGTGTTATTAAGATATTTCTTTACTTAATCTCAGAAAGTGTCTTTGAAGACCAATAAATGTGGTTACATTTTTATAAGAGAAGAATGTAATAAATCAATAACTGCAATGCTAGGGTAAACGCTGCATTACTTAATTCTAATATAGTGTAGCCAGTTTTCAAATGGATCTCTTTAATTGCTATGTCAAAATCTTGTTGAGCTTGAAATAGTATGTAAACAAAATTTTTTATCACTGATTTTTGCAGTAGAAACATCAACCCATGAAGCCAAGTGATCTACGCTTAAAGGTGAAGCTTCTGTTAGGACTAAGCATAGCTGGAAATGGATACTGGTGGAATGGGGGTCATCATAAACATTCTATGCATAGGGGCATTGTGCACAAATTTTAAAATAGGTATGTGGTTTTTTTCATTGCACCCAGCACATTGACATTATTACACTAGAGACATTATAATAACATCATGCTAACAAAGCCTGTGTTTTTTATTTAAAATTAAAAGAAAAATAGATTTTCTAACATTTAGTTGTATATAAGAAATTTGTACCCTGCATTTGGTGGCTAATCTTGTAGATCAGGGGTGTCAAACTGCCGGTCCTCCAGCTGTTGCAAAACTACAAGTTCCATCATGCCTCTGCCTTTGGGAGTCATGGTTGTAACTGTCAATCTTGCATTGCGTCATGGGACTTGTAGTTTGGCAACAGCTGGAGGGTTGCCAGTTTGACACCTGTGCTGTAGAGGATTTTTAAGAGGCTCTTCTTGTCTTTAAGAGACTTGTGTCAGGAGAAAATGCATAGGACTGTGGAAGAAGTTCAGTGTACTGCTGAAGAGGAAGAAGCAACGTCTTCTTCTTCTTCTTAGCTGTAGGAAAAGAGGATTCAAGCCCAAATTGTTGTTGGGGAACATGGCACTACTGAGTATTGCTGAACAAGTGTGAGTGCACCTGTCTGTCTGGAGAGTGGGGGATGTGTTAGCCACATTGGTGTAAGAGACTGACTATGAGAGCTGCTAAGTTATTTTTACACATTCAAGTTATAGTTAGGTGTACATGTTGCTTTGCCAGGCCCAATAACCCGATCTGGTTATCATAAGTCCTGTTATGATAAAGCACCATAGGAGTTGCAGTAAAAGGTTTATTGCATCCAGACAGCAGTTAAGCTGGCCATAGATGGATTGAATCTCGAACAAAAAGTCTTAGGAAAAGTCTTTAAAAAATGTGTACAAAAATTCTCAGAGCAACCACATACACTGTTAGAAATTTGTTTGTTCAAGAAAAAAATTTCCATCATGTTCCTTCAAATTTTTTTGTCACTGGGATTGAAAACAAGCATCAACTTGATCCACTAATTATCAGAAAAATCAACAATATTGCTTAGAACATTCTTTTTCTAAGAATTTTCATTTGAAATTCTACCCATCTATCAGGAGAAAGGGCATAGGACTGTGGGAGGAGATGTTCAGTGTGCCGCTGAAGAAAAAAAAGCAACATCTTCTTCCTGCTACTCCAGCTGCACTATCATCCAGGAACATAAGCACTGAGAGCCGTGAGAGCAGTGTTTTGAATCTGTGTCTTCCAATAGGTTTGACACTTGGCACCCGTTGTGTGAGTGGGCTCCCAGTGAAATACGGTATCTTGCCTCTGAATTAGAAGCAATGTCTTTTAACTACTTGAAGCCCAGGACATTTTTTTACATTTTTCACACACGCAGGTTAAAATATGCATTTTGACATGGCTTCACTGCGGCCGGCCAGTTCTGGGACGTCCTCCCGTGATCGTGCTTCCCACGTGCCCCCGGCACCGCGCATCAGGAACTGTAAGTGCGCGCATCAGGAACTGTAAGTGATGACTGTGTCCCTCGGTGGCTGTGTCCCTCGGAGGGGTGTGAAGAGGGGAGTGAACACCAATTACAGCGGCTTTTTACATTTTTGATCGCTCGTCATTGGACAGCACTGAAAGCTGAAAATTGGCCTGGACAGGAAGGGGTATAAGTACCCGGTAGTCAAGTAATTAAAGCCCCAAAATAATTACATAATTTTTGAAAGCAGAGGCCCTGTAGAGGTAAAATGGTAGCAGCTGGAATTTTTTATGTTGCATGAAATTTGTGTAACTGTTTGTCAAAGACATATTTTCAGGCAAAAAATACATCAAACTAAATTTTAGTTTACACAAACATGCCTACCAAATGGCAAAAAACTATGGTACCCCATATTGTCCATAGACGACACTTTAAAAGTCTTCACAGAACATCAGTTTAGAGTTTTCCATAATATATGGCCCTAGAATTATTTGTTCTCACTCCGACATTCGTAGCAATACCTCACATATATGGTGCAATTGCTTTTTCATACACGTGTGCACCCTTTGCACACTTTGCATTTATGTAAGCTTGGGGCGACTTGGTTAATTTAAATTTTTTTTATTATTTAAATTTTTTCATTTAAGCCTCCTCTGCGATAGTATTGACAGGTAATAGGTTCTCTTTATGGAGATATCAGGGGTCTGTTATCTGCTCATCGGGTCACAGTAACTGGTGAATGTATGAAGTGAAACCTGAAGTGACAAAATCCTTGTTGCTTCCAGATTCTTTCATCACAGAGGAGATTGGGGAAAAAATATGTAGTTACCACAGTCCCTGGCTTCTGGAAGGAAGTAGGGAGTCCAAGAAACTATGTAGGCAGCTAGTGGGGGGGGACATTCTTCTGCGTATCATTAACATGAATCACTTTTACATGAAAAGTCGGGCACCAAATGAAAAAAAAAAAACACAATGTTTGGACAAATATTGGTCAAATATTCAAGAGGAACTGAACTCTGGAGTTTGTACCCAAAGTACCCAAGTTGTAACCCAAGAAGCCAAAGGACCAGTCACTATCATTGACTGTAGTCTCCCTGCAGCTGATCTTTCCCCATGATTGACTCACCTTGCCTCATTCTGTGCTGTCTCAGTGTAAAGGTGGCTATTTTAGTAGATGCAAAGTTTTCCTCTTGTCACTGCCTCAAACAAGAACAGCAGTGAGCAGAACAGTAGTGACATTACAAAGTTTTACTTGAAATCTTCTGAGACTGCAGATATACAGCTATAATTATATCTATGAGGCTGTATATACAGGAGTGCCTAGGCACAGCCACATACCAGGATGTGCTCTGCCATTTTTCAAGTGGAATTTCAGACAACAGGTACATTTCCAGGGTACTGCGTAGGCAAAATTTACATTTTATAAATGTTCCCTATAACATAGCAAATCTTCACTTATTGAGTTCAGGTCTGCTTTACTAAAGACAACATGTATATTTATGTTGTATTTCTAAATCATCAGCAAATTTAAAGCATCCTGTAGCAAAAGAAATCAGCACAAACTGGCATAGAAAATGAAGCTCAGAATGTCATATTATAAAAGCCAGTATACCAGCACAGCAAAATCTAAGACCTTTTTTTAACCAATTATTCATTGTTCTCCAAATGCTGCCCAGGGACAGGAAAAATCCTCACTGCGCATTTATAGCTATGCCCTGCTTATATGATAACCAAAATATATTGAACTGGATGTCACTTATCACTGTAGTCAGCGTGTTTCCTACAGAATGACCAAAACAAACTGTATATTTAACTCATTCATTCATTAGAAGAAAAATCTATAGCTTTGGACATTCTTTACATTACTACGTAAAATTAATAGCTCAGCAGGATAGAGGCGTTATATGAGATGAAATAGGAAGAGAACATATCAACATTAAACGTGCAAATATAAAGTGACAGGAAACTCAGGAATAGTTTATGTCATCCTGGGGATGCATTATCACTTCCCTGGTCATATAATTGTTTATCTTGCACAAAAGGCTGTATTCAACTATTTAGGGAATGTGCCTCTTGTGTCTAATTATATCTAAATGTTCATTTTACTATGCAGATGACAGTGTATTTGAAAATTGCAGCTCCTGGTCTTGTAAATTTCCTAGAGATGTTTATGTTAGGAAACACACATACAGTGAGGAACAGAAGTATTTGAACACCCTGCTATTTTGCAAGTTCTCCCACTTAGAAATCATGGAGGGGTCTGAAATTCACATTGTAGGTGCATTCCCACTCTGAGAGACAGAATTTAAAAAAAATTCAGGAAATCACATTGTATGATTTTTAAAGAATTTATTTGTCTTGCACTGCTGAACATAAGTATTTGAACACCTAAGAAACAGCAAGCATTCTGGCTCTCAAAGACCTGTTACTGTGCCTTTAAAAAGT